ATCAGGTTTGTCAGTCAGATGATCTTTTTCTGGAACTCTCTTGATAGGTTCATGCCAGATTTTGGTGTAGAGTAGGACTATTGTGGTAGAACGTAAATTGTGGGGGGGTGGGAAGATAAGAGTTTAATGAGACATTAGTTACTTTATAGCTTCAGAATGGGTTAAGTATTTCTTGCTTTTGCTTATTAAATATTGATCCATACACTGTCAGTATAAAAGGTTTGGATGTTGAAAAGTACTTACATTTGTAAATTGTAGCTGTATTAATTAACTAAATTTTCATTAGATATTAGGTAGTTTAAAATATTTATTGCCAATTTACCTCATAGAGGAGTCAATAATATAAAAATTCTGTCTGTAAGGTAAATTAAAGTAATTTTTTGTTGGTGCGATTAGGAAATAATTAGTGTTAGAAAACATCTCGGTTTAAATGAATGCCCTCCCTCGGAAGCTAGTGGATTTTGTCCTTGGTTGAGAAACTTCCAGATAAATTTTTCAAATGTATTCCTTAATCTTTGCTGAAATCTTGACATGTACGTTCTCTACCGTTTTTGTCACTTGAAGCTTTTCCTTAATGTGTACGTTCCTAGTCTTAAAGCACTAAATGGTTATCGAGTTTTAATACTTAGCTGCTTTTATTGCACCAAGGGTTGTTTGTCTATACACAACATTTATATGTGTGCCTGTCCAGACTACGTTTTTTCTGTTCGTTTGAGGCTTTTTAATAGACATATCTTTCTAGAGTTTTCTGTAAAACCAGAGTAAATTAACTGAAAATAGTAGCAGTAGTATAGAGAATGTTGCCCTTAAGATGGAGGAAAATCGTATTACAGGACCTATAAAATCACAGTCTGCAGAGAGTGAATTGCTATATGGAATAGTGGGATTTTGTGGGGTGATTTTGTTTATGCACAAGAGTTTTATTCAGATGTGACCATTGGGTTTTAAATTCTAAATATAATTCTGTTTGAAGTAGGGTGATTTTTTTTTTGTGTGCATTGTTTTTTGTTTTTATAAATCCTTATTTATCATCTTGGCATTTATACCCAAAGATATCTGATGTAAATTTTGCTCGTGGTATCTGAATATGTAAGGTGAGGCAGATACACTTAGAACATACAAGTAATAATTCATTTTGATGCTACTTTATTCTTTTTTTAAAAAGTGACGTGCTGAATTGAAGCTGTTAATAGTGCTAATAAACATAGTTTCTTTTCCTGTTTTGTTCTGACCCACAACAGTTAAAAACATAGCATGTATGCTGATGAATGCATAGCGGCAAAATTGGCCTGTTACATTTCTTTAGAGTAATTTTATTATGCGGGGATCAAAGGTCTGATGTTAAGACAATGGCGTGGGGGGAGGAAGTAGAGCTGGTTGTTTCCAGAATAACCTCATTCAAAATTGCTTTTTTGTGTGCTGTCATCATCCAGTATTGAGTTTATAATGTTTTTTGGAGCTATGTATGATATGGAAGTGAGAGGTATTTTGGGGGGGCTTGGGATGTGGTGTGTTTTTTTTCTTTTCACTTAAGAGGGTTCAACATAGGTGTCAAAAACTGCTGGCCATGTACTAACAACAACAAAATCTTATTTGTAGTTTTTTGGTGAAACCTACTGTTATATGAGCTGGCAATGTGTGGATAGATGATAGGCAATTTTGTGCTGATTACTTCAGGCTAACTTTTTTTTATGATAGCCTACTTATCAAAATAACTGTAGAATTTGGAGGCTTTTTGGAAAGCGCAGAAAATTCCAATGTACTTGTAATTCCTCCTTCTAAAAAGTCATTCCATCTACCCTCAGTCTTCAGGGAGTAGCTTTGTCTCAAGATTGAACTTAGAATATATAATTGGTGGGGTGTAAATGTAGTAAATGGTGTTTTATATCTGGGAAAGAAATGCTTAGAACAGTGCAATTTTTATCCTCTTGTCTTAATGTGCTCCTGTGATGTTGGTATGTTCCAGTTTTGTGTTGGCTCTTCTGTTTTTGTCTTCTGTAAATGTGGATATTTAAGAGCAGACATACTGCACTAGTGAAAAGGATAATAGGCCATGAATAACACTGTGGTCGCTGACCCTGGCTGGGGGCCAGGTGCCCACCAAAGCTGCCTTGTCACTGCCCTCCTCAGCTGGGCAGGGGAGAGGAAATACAACAGGCTTGTGGGTCGTGACAGGGAGGGATCATTCACCAGTTACCGTCATGGACAAAACAGACCTGACTGGGGAAAATTAATTTATCATCAGTCAAAATCAGAGTAGAAAAGAACTAAAACCTAATCTTTAAACACATTCCCCCCACCCCTCCCTTCTTCCCAGGCTCAGCTTCACTCTGGATTGTTCTCTTCCTCCTCCCCTGAGCTGCACAGGGGAATGGGGGCTGTGATCAGTCCACAGTGTGTCTCTGCCGCTCCTTCCTCCTCAGGGGAGGGCTCCTCACACTCTGCCCCTGCTCCAGCGTGGGGTCCCTCCCACGGGAGACAGTCCTCCACCAACTTCTCCAACTTGAGTCCTTCCCAGAGGCTGCAGTTCTCCATGAACTGCTCCAGCGTGTGTCCCCCCCTCCTCGCAGGGTGCAGTCCTTCAGGAGCGCCTGCTCCAGCCTGGGTCCCCTGTGGGGTCACAAGTCCTGCCAGCAAACCTGCTCCTCTCTGCATGGATCCACAGGTCCTGCCAGGAGCCTGCTCCAGTGTGGGCTTCCTTCAGGCATCCCCTGCTCCGGTGGGATGTCCTCCCCAGGCTGCAGGTGGGTCTCTGCTCTGCCGTGACCCTCCATGGCTGCAGGGGCACAGCCAGCCTCACCATGGGCTACACCACGGGCTGCCGGGGAATTTCTGCTCCTCCCCCTCCTTCTCCTCTGACCTTGAGGTCTGCAGAGCTGTTATCTTGCATCTTGCATGCTCTCTGTCCGTGAAGACCTCCACGCTTACGGGTTTTTGCCCATTCTTGAACGTGTTGTCACAGAGGTGTTATGGCTGCGACTGGCTTGGCCTTCACCAGCAGTGGGTCTGTCTTGGAGCCGGCTGGCATTGGCTCTGTCAGACACAGGGTCTGTAGACTGTGGTGAGTGCAATGAACAGAAGAGCCTGTTGTCTGCTGAGAGTAATAGTGGAAGGTCCAGAGCTGCTCTCTAAAAAAATTTTAGGCTAAGTAGAGAAGACGTGTCATCAAGTCTTACTCTTACTCTTTGAAGTTTCTGCTGGAGTGGATTGTGTGTTCTGTACAAGGAAGATACTCAGATATAAAACTAGACAGTGTAATTCAGGATCCTCTAAAGAGGAGGCAGGCAAAGACAAGTCAAAATGTTATCGATCAGTAGCTACTGTGATAAATGTGATGGAGTGTCCAACCTTCAGGAGATGCTCAGAGAATGACTCTTCATGAAGGATTGATTCCTTTGGGTTTCTTTTTAGAGATAAGGCTTTTGTAATGGATAAAGGTGACTTATGTGAATCTTCCTCAACTTTTTTGCCTTGTGCTTTTAGTTTAATCTCTGCAAGGCAGAATAAAATTGGGTAAGCAGGACTGTAGCAATGCATAAAGAGCCTCAGCAGTTGGGATGGTTTAAAAGATGACAAATCTTTTCACTAGAGCCCTAGTGTGAAGCAGAGGATGCATTTTACAAGGGCGAAAAAAAGGCTATGTGTAATCTGACTAGAATATGAAGAAAAAAAACCCGAAGCAATGGCATCATGTGTTGTGTGATACGTTGCATTAACACTCCTTTCTCTTAATGCTTTTTTTTGGTCAGTCTGGATCAAAATTACTTTCAGGTGTGATGATGGGAAATTGTGCTGCTGTATGTTGGACTTGCAGATTCCTAGAAAAGGGTTTTGGTGTCAGTGGAGCATTTTCATGTCAGTGAGAATTGTATTGTTACAGAATTGAATTTATCTGAGATTACGGAAATCGATGCTGCTAGTGATAGCATGGCCTATATTTTGGGAATTGCTAGCCCAGTGATTTAGTCACTAAATTGTTACTGAATCAACAGGTGGCGATGCCAATTTAGACGTGGTGTGGAAATGCAGTGAGGTCCTTCTAGAGAAGAACTGCTTCTGGAAAATCAACCTGTGTTGTGAGATCCCAAGTTGACTCATGAATTCTGTGCTAGGATCAGTGGTGTCAGAGGCACCCTTTTGGAGAATCCTGCTGTTGGTAACTTTGTAGAGACAGCTCAGATGACTATGGTGGAGGCCAGAGATTTATTCTGTTAAAGCTGCTGAAATGAAATAATTTTATCCTATGTGATCCTCATTAAGGGGGGAACTATTGTAGGAAAACATTCCAGATGTAATTGGATGAATAATCACTTTGGTACAGTTAAATATTAGTTATTGCTCTAGGGAAGAAGGAAAAAGCAAGAATTTGCAAGGTCAAGCTGAGTTGCACCTTGAAGAGTTTATCAGAATAGCATGAAAAAGGTTCTTCAGCTATGTAAATTTAAAAAAAATGTATTTGTTATATGGAGGGCATGGTAGAACTTAAGCATGAACCCAAAATTAAATTAATCCTTACACTGAAACAATGTAATATAGCCTGTGATTTTTCCCTCAAGGATCTGTGTGAAGGAAATAAGGGCATGGAGATAGCTACAGCTGTAGTAATGAAAGCAGTCATCTCAGGTGGGGGAACCAAGGTCACTGCGTCTTGAAAGAAACTGGGTTTAGCCTTACGGTGTGAGTTTTGGTTTTTAGCACATTGATAGTCAGGAAGGATTTGTTGTGAAAAACAGCTAGTGTGGTACTAATTGAAATTGAACATCCACGCTGCTACAACAGCATGCAGGGCACTGAGGAAAAGTAAAATGCTAAGTAGAAAAGGAAGCAAGCTCCAGCATGGGTTAACTGTGGATTATATCATTGAAATTCATAGCTGTTGCTTCAGTCCTCAAGATGTAAAGTTATGGGTTTACTTGCAGAGAACAAGAACTGCTGTCAGCTTGGAGCTTACCAGGTGAAGTTGGCAGAGGGAGAGCAGGAGAACCTGAATAGACCTTAGGATGACTGCATTACCCGAGCAGGTAGTTTTGGCGAGTCATTAATTGTATTGGTTGTTTAAACCAATGTGCAGCTTTGTGAACCAAGAGGTAGTGCACAGGGGCAGTACCTCTGAGAAAGCAGAGTCACAAAGAGGACAAAATCTTCCACAGGAAGCCTTGCTGGGACTCTGTCACTTGGTCAGGGCCTCGTGCTACGCTGCTGCGGCAGAAGGCAAATTCAATCTTGGGTTATGCTGGTTGTATTTTCAGTGAGTGTTCATGGCCCTGATTCTGAGGCTTCGTCTAAATTTGTTTATGTCGGGCTAGTTAAGTGAGCATGAGACGGAGGGTGGAGAAAAGAAAAATAGATATCAGTATAGTGAGATTAAAATTTCAGCTTGTTTAGAGCAAAATTAAAGCTGAAAAGGGAGATCAGTATAAATACCATCTGTTTTGCAAGAGGAATAAATACTAGAGATACAAAGAAACTTGTTGGAGCTGGGAAACAATTCTGTCACAGGTGGGCGTAAATAGATTATAACTTTACCTAAATGGCAGTTTAGAAAGCTTTTAACAATTGTGAGGTGGTGGAATGAGCTGCCAGTTGGAATAGTGAGAGCAAAAAAACTTAAACGTGGGGGTGAAACGCTTGCAAGAGGAATGTGTTGCTTGCGATTCAAGTTTGGGTCCAGAGAGGGAGTTTCTTCCAGTGCCTGGCTGTTGGGGAGGGCTGTCTTGCTGGGACAGCCTGTCCTCCTGCTCAGTATTATGGAAGTAAAGCTTTGAAAAAAACCTTTCAGTTGATTTTTGGTCAGGCAGTTTACATGAACAGCAGCAGGAAAGAGAATAAATCTAAAATATGTTTAAAAACATAAGTTAATAATAGAAATTATGAAATTCCTTTCAAGTCTTAGGTAAGGTCATGAAAGACAACACAAGATCTGGTGCTGAGCTTGAAACAAAAAGCTAGTTTATGAATCTGAAGTAGTAAACCAGAACCATTACGTTTAGTATATAACTGGCTTTTGATTTTGGAGGCGCATGGTGTGTTCTTAAGTTGTAGCACGGTTGAATCTTTGGGGTTTTTCTTTTGCAGTTCAGTACTTGGCCTCAACTCCACAGTTGCAGGGACTGCCTCATTTGTGCGGGTTGAAGGCTTTTTACTCAAGCTTTAGAGACAAATACGTGTAACTACAGGTGTAAAAAGCTCCCAAATCACCATTGGATTCATTCAGCAAAACTTTAAATCAGGGTCTTTTACATGGTGAAACTTCTACTTGAACTTTGATTTTTCTTTGTATCTGTGAGCATCTCTGGTCAGAAAAGCACCCTCCTTGGTGGGTTGAACAATGACACTGAATTTATAGAACAATTAGAGGAAGGAAACAGAGGTGATCTCCCAGCTGTTCAGTGAATGCTGCATCCTTAACGGCTCATGTCACTGGTACATCCAAGAGCCAATTGATGACAACTGTCAGGTTTAACTGACTTCACTCTCCTCTCCGTAGCTGTCAGCAACCAAGTTTGCTCTGAGGGAGTAGAGAACCACAGCTGCACAGGGCTACTTGGCATAGAACTACTTGGGACAATTTTAAAGGATCTGGGAAGACATGAGTTCATGAAAAAAACCCCAAAACCCCAGGATTCAGAAAATCTGCATTGCACGGTATATAGAAGCAGCAGAATGGATAAACCTGTAATTACTTACCTCCAAAAACTTCATGGTACATCTTTCTAAAAGGAGATTGTGCTTTGTATCACTCAAAAAGTTACTGGCTGGAAGATTTGTATGAATTTCACTAACACTGCTGTCTGGATGCAGAAAGCAGGTTCTGTGGAATGAGTAGCTCTGGCTAAACACTTCTGAGAATCAGTTTCTGGAAAACATATGTTTTTTTTACAGTGGTTTTATTTTGTAGGCAAGTTGTCATGGTGTGTGAAAGTGTTGAGGAGGTGACAATGAAATTCAAGTGTATAAATAAATTGTACCTTACGCCTAAATATTACAGATAAACATGATCTTCAGCAAAACTACAGTATTATGTTCAGATCATCGTATTGTTTAAAAATAGTGAGCACTGCATTTGGGGAAGTCTTTCTGTATTCCAATGAAAGTGACAATCATGTCTATTATTAATTAAATCGCTCTAAACAAAAAAAAGTGTAACTCGGTCAATTTGATTTTATAGTTTGACATGTGGAATTAATAGCTCATTTGAAGGATCATGGTCTTTTGAAAATGTAATCAACTTAAAAATACAACTTTAGATGATATTGCTGGGTTGCCTTGCTTTAATTTGGTAATAGTATAAATATTGAAATTTCTAATGCTTAACAAACAGTCTATTTTTTTAATGAAGTAAAATTCCAGCTGGAACATAGGTATTCACTTCAGGTTACTACACGTTAAAATTTTTATTTATATAGAAAAATATACTTACATTTTTACATTATTTACATTACACCTTTTTAAAAACTATTCTAAAAATTTAAACTACCATATTTTGGGGGAAATCTGTATGTCACATGCTTACTTATGATTCTTTGTTTCTCTGTTTATTTTTAAGACGAGCAAAAATCAAATTAAAGTAGATCTTGTAGATGAGAATTTTACAGAATTAAGAGGAGAAATAGCAGGACCTCCGGACACACCATATGAAGGCAAGTAATATTTTTGTGTATGCAATCATTGTACACTTGAAATCATGTGTCTTGATGCTTTGTTTGTAAAATTAATTTACAGTATAAAAATGTAGAGCTACGTGTTTTAAAATAATCTGATTAAAACCCCCCAGAAAAACCACAAAACAAACCCACAGATTTAGGCTTGAAAAAGATTTCAGTTCAATTTCTGTGTTGCCTGAAGGAAGATCCATCCTACAGTAGGAGAAGCTATGCCGTATCAAAGGGTAATACACAGGTATAAGCTCTGCAGTGTAATGAGCATTATTCTGACCTGCTTGTTTACCCTCTTGACAGTTTAAGCTCCTCAGCCATGAAGCATCAAGAAACTGAGCTTCAGAATCTAATGTAACTGTACATGAATTTCTGTGATCTAATTCTGTTCAGAAACGTGTTGCATTTATCTGTCTCGGAGAAATGCCATTGCAAGTTATTTGGGATTAATCTCTGGCATCCATGGGTCCCAATGTTTAATTTGTACTGGAGTGGGGGACTCTATAGTAGAATTTCATGTCTGTAGCTCTTCAAAAACTATACCTTATTGACTTTATTGTTTGTTAAAACTGGTGTCAGTAATTGTGGATCTCTTCAGGCTGGAAAAAGCAAGTGAACTTGTTACATATAGAAGCTTTAAACGAGCTAGGATACAGTGTTTGATCAATACTCAGTGGTGCTGGTACTTGTAAACTTTGTGTACAATGTTGGTGGAGCTGGGAGACACACCTCTTAAAGCTCCACGATGATGAATGAGGATTTTTTTTGCTGTTACCTTTAAATTGTGTTTTATTCAGATTTTCCATGCCAGGTATCTACTTTGATTTGAATTTCAACTTCCAGTTAAAAAAAAAACAAAAACACAACAAACCAACTCAAGGATTATGTTACAGGCAAAACCGTTTTGTTGGAAGTTAAAAAAATTCCAAGTTTTCAGTTGCTGTGGTTGCTCCATGCCTTGGAACTACGAGTGGGACTTCTGTATCGTTGAAGGAGCAGACACGGGCTGCTTGTCACTATTTTTCAAAAGAAATTCTCATCGAGTGGGGAAAACATCTGAGAATTGTTGTGTAGGCATAGGTGTACGTGCACACGGAAGTGTTGGTGGCTGCTGAGGGAAAGCTGGCCGCTGCATCTTCACGACAGAGGACGTCCCTCGTGACTGCTTCTCTGGGCTAGGAGATGCTGGTGCGGCAGCTTTGGACTTGAGCATGGGAGTCTCCTCAATGTGCACCCAACCCCACCTCCCTCTGGGGCCCAGGGCAGACAAAGCGTGAGGAAAGAGCCTAAACAGAGGTTGACAGTGGAGAATATTGTGCAGGGGTAGAAGGTGTCAGAAGCTGAGGAGAAAGAAAATGATCCTGGAAGGGAGAGAGAGTAGAAAAGCAGAAGCATCTGTAATGGTAAGGACTTGAGTCCCAGAGTTCCTCTGCTGTCTAGCAAATAGTGGTGGTTCCCCCTTCCCTCCCTTCCCCCAGCTGCCTCTGTTCTCATCAGCCACTAGTGTTTAGCTAACAGAAGATAATGGCTGGAAAGAAGATAATTTCTTCTGTTTACAACATGTGCCTTCAGTTTTGAAGGAGAACTATACCGTGGACCCGTGCGGGTGACCTGTTTGGAAGTGGATCGTTCTGCTGAGTGTAATAGTTCTTTTGCAAATACAGTTGGTCTTACAAAACCTAATCTTGTATACAGATGTTAAGATGTTGCAAGAGGAAGTAATTGGATGCTAGGAAACATCTGAATGGTGGGGGGGGGAGGGTGGTGTTTTGAGCGGTTTTGTGTGTGTTTTCCATTCCAACAGAATTAGTCCTCCTTGGGTGAGTTGGTTTGTCATGGCTTGCCATTTTTTTTCCCCCTCCAGGACAGCATTACCTCAGCTTATAAAGTGGACCTTTTTTCAAGAATGTATTGAAGGTTATTTGAAATGAAAGATGTATTCATGTGTCACAAAAGTTAAAAGCGGTATAGCAGCTCTCGAAGAGGGTAAAAAAGATTTGAATGCCTGTCTGCGGAACTGGGTTCTGTGTGATGCTGGATAATTGAGATAGACCAAAATTTCAAAAGCTGAGCACTGTGTATTCACATATTCAGCATATCCTGCTAATGAAAACCAGCAATATGTCTTTACTGCGGAATTTGTTGATGTGAAATGCATGCATAACGTTGGGGATACAGTAAATATCCCTTTACGTGTTCTGATTTGTGGCAGGGATCTCATGGAAAAGTAATGTGATGTGTGCTTTAAGCTGTAAGGCACATGCACCAAGGAGCAACATGAGTTACCAGCAGCCCAATTTCTGGCATTTCCTGACACTTGAGTAATTTACTTTGGAATGTTAATATTTCTGTAACATAGTTTTATACATTTATTCCCTTATGTAATTATGAAGGGCTTGCCCGTGTGTGTAGTTCACACTTAATGACTAACGCAGTAATGCATGCTGCATAATTACTGACTGGTCTCCTGTCATCTGTAGTCTGAACAATGACACAGCAAGAAGTACTTTATGAAGAAAAGCTAATTAATGCAGTGGTTCAGGTCAGACAGTTGTGTGATACAGGAGGGAATTCTAGGACCGTCGTGAAGGGTAAGAACAGTAATACTTATTGTTGACCACAGCTGGTGAGGTGTCTGAAAACAAACTGCTGCTGCAAAATTCTTTTATAGGTGATGTCGAGACATTGGTTTAAGTATGACTGACAGGAAGAATGCCATCTATTGCTGGCAAACTTCACAGCTTTTATTTTTCTGTCAGTAGTGTCAGTGTATATGGGCAAATTATCAGAATATTTCAAAACACAACTTTGGTTGAAACACATTTGCATCACATGCTCAAGCATGAATGTTTGGAGAGAGGACTTTTTAAAGTCTAGATTAATGGCTGCTGGGTTTTACTTAGAATCATAGAGCTGTTTGGGTTGGAAGGGACCTTAAAGATCCCCCAGTTCCAACCCCCCTGCCATGGGCAGGGCCACCTTCCACTAGACCAGGTTGCTCAAAGCCTCATCCAGCCTGGCCTTGAACACTTTCCAGGGATGGGGCATCCGCAGCTGCTCTGGGCAACCTGTTCCAGGGCCTCCCCACCCTCTCCAGGAAGAACTTCTTCCTGATATCTAATCTAAACCTCCCCACTTTCAATTTAAACCCATTACCCCTTGTCCTGTCACTACAGGCCCTTGTAAAAAGTCCTGTGTCCCCCCCTGACCCCAGCTTCCTTGTAGGCCCTTTCAGGTGCTGGAAGGCTGCTTGATTCAAGAGCTTTTCAATAAATAAGTAATCTTTTTAATTTTTTTTTTTTTTTTTTTTAGCCCTATGTAACCAGGGTATTCATTTCAAGCCACGTTCGCATGTGAGCCACAGTAACTGCAAAATTTGTAATAGGGTATTTCTTCCACGAAAATAGTTAAAACTTGCTGTAACTAGTGAGAGACATGCTCCAGTAGGAGTACAGAGGGGATATTCTGCCGTTACTGTTTAATTCAATCTCAGGTATTAAACACCTATGAAAAAACCTTACCTATGCATACTCCTTTTAAAAACAAATTCTGCAGATATTAGTATGTTAGTTACTTGCATTTTTAAATGTGGTATTAAGGAAACTAATACCTAGATTAGTTCAGTTTGGTTTTGAACCTATGCTTTTAACTGTAAAGTGCAGTGCACAACAATACTATTTAAATAATACTATCAACTCATTAGTCCCATGAGTTTTTTAAAATCCTTTGGACCTGTACAGCCCAAAAAAAAAAGGTGGCTGAATAGCCTGTTATGCAGAAGGCTGTAGTGTTATGTGTTCTGAAGGCAAGTTTTAATGGTAAGCAGAAGAAACAGTAATACCTAAGGACAGGTTTCATACTATCTTAAACAGTGATGTGGCAGGGAAATCATAGAGGGCCTGATGAATTTTTGCGATCCAAGAACAGTGTAATTGTTCTGTTTCTTAGGAAAAATTGCTGCTGAATTATGCTTCAGACAAAAAGAAAAGCAGACTTACAATCTGTTGTTGATGTACATGTCTTCAAAAATATTTAGCCTGTGCAGTCCTGTAAGCAGACAGGTGATCAGTTTAGACATTAACTATGATAATTTTGTGTTTATTGTCCTTCCTTGTGTTGTATTTTCTGTTAAATCATCTGAAGTGACTGTAGTATTGAGAGAATCCAGCTTGAGAAAGTAGTGTAAAAAACCAAACCAGTATTAACCAGTTTGAGGTGGAGTGCATCAGACTGAATTGCATTTTAAAAGTGAGAGGTGTTAGTAGCTGCTGACGTGCATTTTGGCACAGCTAAGAAGGTGCCATAGACTATAACTGTTCAGAGTATTCCCTTGAGGTTTCTTCCTGCATGTGAATCTTGCTGTCTGTATTGAGACTCCTTGAGAGCTGGTTTTGTACGGAGTGATTTGCAACAGAGTGAATCGGTCTTGAAATCCCAAAGGAAATGGATTGCAGGTACTTCAGCTTTAATTCAAGGAAATTTATAAATTTAAACAAAATATATTGAGGGAGGGAAAAGGTTTCTTTCTGAAAGAACTGCAGTAGGATGAGGACAAACAATTGCAAGTGAGGAGAAATACTTGCAGTTTCTATTAAAAAAAAGATGTTTAAATTGGTGTGTATGTTTTGTTCTTTTTTATTAGTCTTAGTTTTTTGTGTCATTAAACTGCTGCCTGGCAAACGATCCTCAGTGGGCAGGCAGAGATAGTTTGAGATTGCTCCAGAAGACATAAGTATAGATGGTAAACTTGAATGAGAACAAAACTATAATTACAATAGACATAGGTAATGATATTGTACCAGGGAGAGGAAAGTGAGAAATGTTTAAAAAAGGGCATTAGGAAGTGGTTCTGTCCACCAGGGTCATACTGTCCTTCGTTCTGTGCTGTAATCCTGCAAGCTACCTTAATGGTACTGGTGTGTCGAAGTGCTTGCAGAATTGGAATAGGAGTAATTACTTCAGACAGTGATGTAGAACATACTGGAAGTAACATTGGAGCCTCTAATAGTATTTCCCTTGCCAAAGTGTGGGAGCTTCTCTTAAATGACTTAGTTGAACTTTCTTCAGTTCCAAAAAGTTGAAAATGAAATACAGTTAATTTCAGTTGTGTAATTTGAAGAAAATTTATTGGCATGAAGTAGGAGAAAAGAGTGAAAATCACTTAATATCCCATGTTGAGCCTGAATGTTCTTGTGGCCTATCGTTTCATCTGTTTGGGGGGATATTTGTTTTGTATTTTGGTATGTTTTACTGAAATAGCATGGAAATTACAACGTTGGAAACGAGACTGTAGGAGAATGCACTCATTAAATATACTTAAGAAATACAGATTCTGATTTACATAAATATGATGATTAGATTGGCTTATATGCATATATATATATAAAATATATGAAACAAAAGTATGTTCTGAGTAAACTTGATTTACTTGAAAACCTGTCCATTTAGAACTGTAAGCTTTGTTGACAAGAAAGGTTAAGCTTGAGTAATGTTCTTTGTTTTAATTTCCAACTTGTTCTTGTCTTTTGCAGGTGGCAGGTATCAACTAGAGATAAAAATTCCAGAAACATATCCATTTAATCCTCCTAAGGTACTGTAAAAACTTTTTTGGATAAAATAATTTGGCTAACAAGTTGATTTTGGGTGTTCTTATTTATTTGCATGTGTTGTAGTGCCCATTTCCCCCCACCCCCCACCCC